GAAAGTTCTACTTCAGCCCTAAGGTACAAAAGAAAATGGAGACACATTATCAGGGCCGTACTGCGGCAGCGCTGCATCTTTTCACTCCCACCAGCCTAAATTCAAGGTCCTCCGATGAAGCAGGCTTGTGTAAAATCAGCAATGCCTGTAAGGCTATAGGAATTTGGCAGTAGAGGTTTTCCATGAGCCACTCTCGTTAGCCAGAAGCTGAGATACTTAGCAAATGCTTCATCTCTTTAAAATGACGATACAGCATCAGGAGTAGCTACCTGTCAAACTCATGAATCCCCCTGCATGCTTGTTCATCATGCAAGACTATGCGAGGTGCGCAGTTGCTCTGTGGGGAACCACCTTACCTCCACCTTCAGGTCTTGGTATTCCATCTAACTCCGTGAAATAGTTCTCCAAGAGCTTCATGCTGAAGTTAGAAGCAACAGTGCTCGCAAGTACCACCCTTAGCCAAGTCCTTCCCCTTTTGTAGTGTAGACGCGCCCGGTTACAGCAGTGCTGATCTGTAACAAGAGCGCGGAGGTTCGAAAATTGAAACGGAAGCTTTCGCACGCACCCCATAGTTCCTTGTCAAGTGCCGAAAAAAAGAGTGTTCAGAATGCAAGCCGCTCAGGGCTGCTGAATCAGACCGATTGTGGCAACCCAACCGCTATCGAATGTACCTACCAGACACAGGAGGACCAGACGGAACCTCACATGGACTCTCTCTGCTTGTCGCTGCTATTTCAAAGTTGAATTTATTCGAAGTGCGAAGAGGTTGCGGGTCCGAGGCATGTTGCACAAGCAACCTCAAAAGGGCAAGCTCTACAGTATGTTCCAGTGGTAGCTGAACTTATTTTTATTATTACAGTTCTCACCATTGCAATTACCCATGCCGTATGCCTCACGGAAAGTCTGAGGGCTACAAGTCGCACTCAGAACCAGGCCGAAGGGGGGCAAAAAAATCCCACAAAAAGATTCAGGGCCTGGACAAGATACGGTTGACCAAGTCAACGGTCGATCTACCCAATTGTCAAAGTCAAAGGTACCCAGCCCAGGCCGCCGGTCAGGCACACACATTTGTTTGTATGCAGGTACCCAGACAACATCAGGTCCAAACGAAAGTCTGCAACTGTACACAATACAGGCCCTCGGTTGGACGACTGTGGGGGAGCAAACCGAGGCCAGACAACCTCGTCAAATGCTACTTAAAGGCTGACTTCGAGGTGGTCAACATTCAGTCTTGCTATGCTGCTTGGACGCTGGCTTGACTTCGACCAGACGCTGGCTAGACGCTGGCTGCACGAAGGCACTGTGGACAAAGACGCGGACTGTGACATCATGCTGGCGCGTTCTGCATTGGGCGCCAGGCATTGCTGATGTGGCGCTTCCACCTCTCTATAGGGCTGACGTGGTGCAGGCCACTGGTCGACATTGCTGACGTGGCGCTTCCTCTGGTCTACATTCCATGCTGATGTAGCGCTGCCTCTGGTCTACATTACATGTTGATGTGGCGCTGCCTCTGGTCTACGTTGCATGCTGATGTGGCGTTGCCACCTCTCTACATTGATGATGTGGCGCGTGCCACCTGTTTCTGCTGACGTGGCATTGCCCGCCCTGTCTACATGAGGTGACAGGTTGCGACAAGGAGGAAGATCGGGATCCGTGGAGGATTGGGATCCGGTACTCACCTGAGGTTGATGTCATCACTGTAATTTGTTGTGTCTTCATGGTCTTCACGAGATAAGAGTGCCACGTGGCACTACTGTGTGATCAGGATTATTATACTTCATATACTGGTTGATGATGTGGAGAGGGAAGCAGCCCGGAATAGGAGTGGGGTTTGATGGGATTACTCTTGGGTGATCTTTGATCACCTCTTCCACCTTCTCCTCTGTCTAATCCCCCTCCACTCTCTTCATCTAATGGTGAGATACTGTTTCAGATACCACTTCACGATAATTGGAGACTTTGTTGCAGATGTAGAGACTACTGGTGCATGGCGACTGATGGGTATCTGCCAGACGGGGTTCATTACACCATTAACAGTCTTCTTATTATATTTATTACTGCCACCGGAACCTTAGTACGCAAAAAAAGTTACAAAACAAGGTAAAAAGGTAAAGAAGTAAAAAGGTAAAGAAGTAAAAAGTAAAAAAGTAAAAAAGGTAAAAAAGTAGAAAACACGCACAAGGAGTCCAAAGACGTTCACAGTTGCCTCTCTTGATCCTGCAACCCTTTCGAGATCGAGGTAATCAATCTAGTATGCGTGTGTGTGTGTGTGTGACCCACTCGCTGTAGAGGGATCGCATAGCGTACCGGGTCAGGTGTCACGGGGGACAACTGACCCTATCGGCCTGGATCCTGCGCACACCAAACAACTATACAGACACAAACACACAGTTAGTACATGCCATGCTCCTGCTCCAAACAGTCGAGGACCAGCTGCCGGTTAATACGGCTAGGCTGAAAAGCCCGATGGTTTTCAAATACTTTTTTTACCACCTTCCAGCAGCTCCATGAATCAAACCCATTTTCCACCATGGCCATTATGATACGATGGATTTCAAAGGCTGCCTCCTTTGGTTCAGTGCATAGGATCAGAATGAGTGTCGTCTGCGCCGTGATGATCTACAGTGATTGCGCAATACTCCTATTGGGGCAGAAACGAGTGAATCTGCACGATTCGAATCCTAATCCCCTCCTTCTGTCATTTTTTGAAGTCACAAACTCCTCACATTCCGTTGAGGAGACCGTCATCCTCATGTTGAGAAAGTTTGCAATAATGCCTTGCCCATGTTCATCCACCTGCTCGGTGATGTCAGCGGTGTAGACCGACATCACCATTTGTGGCAGGCTGGCTGTGAATTCACCGATGAAAGAGACCGGTCACCAGAGGTTAGGCTTTACCCCATACTTGGCTTCAAGAACGATGCTTCTTTCTTCGCAAAACTCCCGTACGAAGGGAACCAGGAAGCTCAGAAGGCATGCTCATAGTTCGGCCATGGAAGACACTGAGGAGTTGGCCGCGTTTGTGATCCAACGGAACGCCCGTTTGTGCACCTTGAAAACAGTCATGAGGTAAGGCAGTGTCATCCCGATGCGTGGTAGCGCCGTCAAGTGTGCAGTCTCCACGTATATGGCCACATTAAGGTGCTTTGGTTCCTCATGCAGAAAGACGAAGTCTAGAAGGGACAGCCTCTTCAAAGCCAGCTTCCTTATGAAATCGATGCATAAGAAAGTTGGTGTGTTGGCCGCCTTGTCGGCGCCCATGATCAGGAATCCTCACGTAAGGAAATCAATTTCCTTCTTGATGCTTGCTTGATCGATCAGCTCCGCTGTGATGTGCATGTGCCTGCGTAAGTGCCTGCACATTTTGCCACTGGCCTTCTCGATGACAAGCTTCTTCACTTCCATCCACGTCCTGCTGCCGAGTTTTGCTACCTCGTATGAAACCGCAAGCGGCTTTTTGAGAAGCCGCTCCAGCTCGTATGAGGCCTCATCCACATCCATTACTTTTAGAGGCACACAACGTGCCTTGAACATCGCCCTAAGCCTGCAAGTGTATGTGATCTCAGTGCTCAAAGTAATCACATGCTGATGCACCGAACTTGGGATGAGTTTCGAAGGAATGTCACTGAGAAGAGAGGCGTTCCTACCCACCCTGCAGAAACATCTAGCCTCATCGTAGTCTTTGGTCCATTGCTCCAAGTTGAAGTCCTAAACGGTTCATTGGCTTGCAAACGTAAGCTGCAACCGGATCGTTGTATGTCCAATCGAAAACGATGTCGTTTAGCCAAGAGTTCGCTTCCTCTACGACGACTTGCTTGAGTGACCCCACAATGATCCTGGCTGAAAAAGCTTCCATGATTCGGCTCGTGTACCTTATGTGCAGGTAGAATGACTCTAGACGGTCCTCGTTCTGCCACTTGAGCCTGCCGTTGGGAAGAGCCACCATCTTTCCTCCCTGCTCCGAATCCTGTGGGAAAGACGAGAGGTGAATCACCCATCATCTAAGAGACCAAGGGAGGAGCGGAGGTGGTCAACGACGAACGAAAAAGAAGGGGGGGTCACAGAGATTAAAAAAAAGAAGAAAAGGAAAAAAGGGGGAAAAAAAGGGAAGGGGAGAGAGAAAATAAAAGAAGGGGGGTTGGGAGGACTATAAGAGGAAGAAACTGGGGATAGGAAAGGGGAGAGAGGACCGAGAGGCCGTGGGGGGTTCACTCGCATAGTGTTATCGCGGCGAACGAATTCGATCCCGGTTCTGAAGATTCCCTTCGGAGAGCCTGCGCCTTAATCTGCTTGCTCTAGACAGCGTCGAGTCTATCTCCGATTCTTCCTCCGGAGAGGTCCCTCCACTTGCACCAATTTGCAGTGGATTCTCAAACGTCTGTGCTGCAGGTGGTGTGGCTAGAACCTACTGTTGTTCCTCCGCCTGCGCCGGTGAGACACGCAGTGGAAGGAAACCTTAATCATGTGGATCTTGATTGGCACACCCTGCAGCCCTTCGCGCTGGTGGCTGTGCTTGTTGTCGTGGCGGATGAGGTGCTGCTATGTGCCTCAGAATGCCTTGACCCAGAATGGGTTCCGGGAAGCTTCTCCTCCTGCGTACCACCCTTCTTGGCCTAGTTGGCACCCTGGTAGGGAGCAGAATTCTCCTCAACGCTTGGGGGGTGTGACGCCTCCAAAGCCCCAAAGCCTATCCTCACTTACAACATCTTCGGCACAGAGCTGGTCATTCAACTCAAAAGCAGATATCTAGCCGGTCATCAGTTCCCTGATGAACATGAAAATCACACAGCCTCTCACTGCATCCTTCCAGGCGGTCCGTAAAAGTGGATGAAAATGGATGTCCTGACCCTCATAGAGGACATGTTGGGGAACAAAACATCTGGATGTGCGAGCAAATACCAAATAGCATGGTCAACCCAAAGCAGGCCGCCCGGGCAGTCCTTCTGGTCATCCTGCTTCTTGCGGCGGCACTCGAGGTAAGGCGTCTTAGTGCTCCATACTTTCGTAAGTTTCGGAGATCTAGTGATGGTGGCTGGCAAATCTTCTTGTGCCACATTGCTGGCTCCCTATCGCCACACTTGTTCGGGCCGATGTAAGTCATGACGGGCAAGGTTAGGTCCGTCGGCTTGAAGGTGGGGTTTCCCCTACCACAGTACTTCAGCTGCCCCTTGTAAGCAATGGCTCTACATTTCCTGTTCCATACTTTTCGTAAGTTCCGGAGATCTAGTGATGGTGGCTGGCAAATCTTCTTGTGCCACATTGCTGGCTCCCTATCGCCACACTTGTTCGGGCCGATGAAAGTCATGGCGGGGAAGGTCACGTCCGTCGGCTTGAAGGTGGGGTTTCCCCTACCACAGTACTTCAGCTGCCCCTTGTAAGCAATGTCTCTACACTTCCTGACATCATCATTGGAAAGACCGGCGAGAAATTGGTAAGCTTTTACCGAAATCGGCACCAGGTGATTGCCTGTGTCCATCCTCCAGATTGAATGTTTGAAGGCTTGGCACGTGCGCTCTACCCACAGGTGCGAGGCTATTGGGGCGAGCACAGTGTACTGTCTCCCAACTGCTGGGACCTGCGCTCGCCTGGGTTGTCTAACTTGCCTTGGAGGCTGCAAATGCATGCTCGTGGTTATGGTCGTAATGGCCTGCTCCAATTCTTCTCGCTCCTCCTCATTGACATCCAGAGCCTGACATCGTGCCGCTCTGGATGGTCCGATGTGATCAGCGGGAGGTGGAGGAGGCAATGAGGGTCCGGCGTTGGCTGGCACATGGTCTCTAAGGTGCGCATCACTAAGGTTCCAAGCCCTGAGAAAACTCTGCTCTACTCTGGCGACCCTGCCCGACAATACTTCGTTTTCGACAGCGTAAGCCAGTTTCCTCAGTTCTAGCTTTGCCGCTAAGATCTCTACCCCTCTTTCAAAGCCGGCTCTATCATCATCCCATGTCCCAGCCAACATCTCCAATCTCGTGGGAAGCAGCAAGTGTTGGGAATCGGGCCCAGCGTCCCACATGAAGACATGTACAAAACAATTTGTGAACCAATTGCGGTACCAGGGCCATTTACCTGGTTTCTCCAAGATCGTGAACAAGCTACTGGACTTCGGGATAGATGATGAAACGACTACGAATCCTTTTTTATGATCGCTAAACACCTTAAATCCACCGCAATTTTCCGAATACTCGAGTATCTAAGGGATTTCCAACATGACAAGTCTATACGTACTTCTTTGCTTCGTCGACCATACCAGGCCACCAAAAACATTGTACTAAATTCACACCCGTCTTTTTGTAGCCGAAGTGTCCGGTCACGTTGTGGCACTCGCCTAAAAATAAACTATGCAAAATTTCACTACATGGAACGACTAATCTTTTAAATCCTGCCTTTTCAAGAAAGAGTAACCCATCCACCATGACAAACTCGTCTGATGTGGCCTTATATCTCTAGCCTCAAGTTTGCGCATGATGTCCATCGTGACGGGGTCTTCCTTGTAGACTTCCACAAAGGATCAAGTTACATCATCTGATAGGCCAAACTCAGTAATCAGCGCACCCATGTAGTATGCCCTGCATGACAGCACATCAGCAACCTCGTTGTACTCTCCCTTCACATAGTCTAGGCTGCAGTCATATTGGCCTACGACTTCAATCCAGCATTTGAGTGTGTCAAAGAGGACACATTGTGTCTTGATCCACTTGAGTGTCTGATGGTCAGTTCTTAGGTAGAAAAAACTTCCTAACAGATAGTGTCTCAAGTGGACAAGCGCTTTGGAGAGGGCGTAAAGTTACCTTTTGTAGTTTTCGTACGTGGACTTCGCCAACTTCTTTGATGGCATCTTCTTGCTCATGTACTCAATCGGCCTCAACTTCTTCCCTTCCTGTTGAGCTAGCACCGCACCAATGCCATATTGGCTTGCGTCGATGGTCACAAGAAACGGCTTTTCAGGCTCGAGGAGCATGAGAATCTCATGATGCGTGAGGACATACTTCAATCTCTTGAAAGCAACCTCACATGTTGTCGAGCGCATCGGCTCCCGCCTTTTTCGCAAAGCGCGGGAGCCCTCCCGACCATATCACGCAGAAGTTGAACAAAACAAAATAAGAGACATGATGCAAAAATAACCCCGCGAACCGCCGAGACGGACGCAGTTGCATCGCGCCTTTCGCCGCTCTAGCCGGGTGCGCCAGCTGTACATCCCACGGTCCCCTACGACAGGATAGGTTTCCGCGGGGCACATCTTGCCTTCCCTGGCGGGCTGTCACCACCCTCAAGGGGAGGCAAGATATGCCATGAGGAAACCTATCCTGTAGTAGGGGACTGTGGGATGTACAGTCGGCGCACCTGGTTAGAGCGGCGAAGGGAGCGATGCAACCGCGTCCGTCTCGACAGTTCGCAGGATCATTTTTGCGTCGTCCCCGAGTTGTCTCTTATTTTGTTTTGTTCAACTCTTGCGTGACATGGCCGGGAGGCCTCCTGCGCTTTGCGAAAAAGGCGAGAGCCGATGCGCTCAACAGGTGGCGGTGTATCGGGGACAACGACTACTTACTGTTTTCTCTGGCGGAACGACACTCGGGCGATAATGTTGAATGACATTATGAAAATAAGATTTAATGTTGTTTGTAACTTGAAGAAGCGAGTGGTACTAACGATTTCTTCTATCAACCAGTTAAAATTGATCTCGCTAGTATCTAACTAATAAGGTTGAAGGTTATATATTTTTCAGATTAACTTTCATAGTTATTTCCCCAATTGATTTCAATTATTAACGAAGTATTTTGCATCTTGCAGAGCACCATAATGACGAAAGGAACATTTTCATATATGAGTCCTCTCTTGCAAGGCAGCAAGGTCACCGAATTCTTGCAGACATTTCAAAGCTTGGCAATGCGGATGAATTGGGAAGAACATCATAAGTTTTTTTTCGTCTTGAATTTTATCGCCGAAAGGTTGAAGCCTGATATCGGACTTCTTTCACGAGCGTCTGAGACTTGGGTTGAATTCGAGAGACTGATGCTAGCCAAGTTCCCGAAATCCCCTGAAGATAGGGTGTTAAAGGGGGCGACCTCGCAAGCTTACTAAAGTTGATAGGGTTGCGCATAATTTGGCCTGAGGAGGTCAAGGGACTTGTTAAAAAGAGAAGCAAACTATAGGTCGGCACGAGTCGCAGGAAAACATTCGCACTGCTTCAGATGAAAATCTGAACTAGGCTAAGTGTCTGAATCAAGGAGTCAAGGCAGGCAAAACTCTTCGGTATCGCAAGCTTTGGAAATGTACATATTGTGGTATGTGGGGCCATAAAATAAGATTTTGCAAACGCGTTGACTACGATGTTAGAAAGGGAATTGTAAGTAGGCGAGAAGGCGGAGTCTGCAATCATTGGAATCATGTGTTGGTCTTCCCTATTCAAAAAGAAGACAAATTTATTAGAAAGGTGATTTTTGATCGCATGTGGGGGAGATTGAAAAATTAGAGTAAATCTCAGATTTGGTCTTCATCCTTTGGTCGGTCGTTATTACTACTTGATTCCATCATTCCGGTGTACTTTTAGGCACTCTTGAAAGATCGTTGATCTTATCCTATGGATACTTTGATTATCCTGGGTTATGGCATAAAAAATTTGGGCTTTTAGTTTTGGGAGGATAACTTGAATGTTGTTGATACTATGAAGTAAACATCGAGGAAATTATGACGTGATATCAACTATGGGTTGACTAGGTTTCGGTTACTCAAGTGAACTCGTGTCATTAAACATTTGGGTTTTTAGTTTTGGGAGGATAACTTGAATTTTGTTGATACAATGAAGTAGACATCGAGGAAATCATGATGTGATGTCAACTATGGGTTGACTAGGTTTCGATTACTCAAGTGAACTCGTGTCATTAATAATTGATAAGTGTTATACTTGAGGACTGATTGTGTCCTTTTTGCTAAGACCACAGTCATCTTTTCGTATGGTATGGATGAACCTTTATTATAATTGAAGGAATGATTGAATCGGACTATTATGAAATTCCATGAGAAAGCATTTGTTGTGAATTGTTGTGAATTGCTGTGAATTGTTGTGAATAATCATGAATTGTATTATTGATGATTTGAATGTCATCGTTATTTGCTCGTTGTAATGTTACGATATCTTTCTTATGTAATTGTGAGCTCTATAGGTGGTTGTAAGGCTCGCGTCGAAGCTGTGCTCCTGGTCCATAGCGAGATGTTGTCTTTCGAATCCTATGTGGTTTAAGGAAGGAAGACTACACTATCATTGAAAGGGAGAAAGGTGTTGTGACCTTATTAAAACACTGCTTATAGATGAGACGATTACTATTGGGTACGAGAGAAGGAGTGGTTACCTAATCTCGTATCAAGCAAGATCACTTCACCTCTATAGCCAAGGCCTAACCAACCTGGGTTGTGTGGGGTGGAGATGTCTACCTCTATAGGGAGGAGATTGATGAGGCCACGACGTTGGAATCGGAGGGAATGTGGTGAGGCTCGAATCTTAAGCGAGGCTTGATGTCGAGATGCTATCCTGTGAAAAGGATTACACCACTCCTCGACGCATATCACAAAAGTTCAGAAACATTAGACATAATAGCTCTGTGAGTTCTTTTTTCTCTCTGAAGATTGGAATGGGCTTAAAACTTGGTCGAGGACTCTTAAATGAATGGTTGCTCTCTAGATGGTTCATTCAAACTAAGTCTGAACAACTTCTGATGAGTTGATTTATTGTGATATCAACCTTAAGGTTATCGATTTTAGGCTTGCCAGGTGCGGAATCTGGTAACCATTCTGAGAGACAAATTGTTGGCCGCCAGTGGGATGATGTTGCGACCATTCTGAAAAAGATCCTCTGTATTTTAGGCTTCCACGGGCGGAATCTAGGTCTAAGTTTTTATTTTTTAGGCTTGCCAGGGGCGAAATCTTGTACTATTCCAATGGATGAGTAGAAAAATGCTAAGTTTTACGCTTCTGGAGGCTGAATCCAGTCTTGTTGCATTTATGTTGAAATCTCTGGAGGATAATCTAGTTTTGATGGTATTGTACTTAGGCTTCTGGAGGCTGAATCCAGGTTGTTGGTAAAAGTTTCGGCTTTGTTCCGGACAAATGTTTTGGATTTTTGTGTATTGTAATCGTTGTTTTCGCATGGAATTTTGTGTATATTTTTGATGGTGAACGACGGGTTCGTCGTTCAATGGGGCCCGAGAATGCTGTCGAGGCGGAAACCCTGACAAAGGTATCTGCCCGGTGTTTTTAAACGTCGGACAATGTCCGACCTAGCAAAGGGTTATCCGAGCTTCATAACTTAATGAGATGGGTTATTTGGCGAAAGTTTATTCATACTCAACCTATGACCGAGAGAACCTAAGGCCTGATACCTGCGAGATCTGGAAATGGCGGGGAGGCCTGGCAACGTGACCAGTCTCTCCTTATGTTTGGTGGGGCCTCACGGAAGTACGGTCATGGAATATATATATATACACCCCCCACAGGATAGTAATTACACTCGACATGGGGGATCCAATGTCTCGGTTTTGGAGACCGCTTTGATAAGGCGCCAACTTGATGAGCAGCGTGCCCCTTCGGGTGGCAACCCGGACCACTGTTCGCACGTTTGTGCCTATATTCTACATACTCCTGGCCACTACACCGCTCTTGTCCGTGCCTTTGGTTCTTGGGAATTATGGAATGGCGGTGCTATGGTGCAAACAATCACTGCCATCTCTGATCTCGTGCGTCATTACCCTAACCTGCAACTGTTCCAGGTCATTAACCCTATGGGTACCTCCTCTACTTCCCTGCCCGCCTCTACGCCTATCTCTGTGCCTGCCTCCGTGCCTGTCTCTGTGCCTGCCGCCGTACCTGTCTCTGTGCCTGTTTCTGTGCCGGTTTCTGTGCCGGTTTCGGTGTGTGTCTCCTTCCAGATTACTGACTCTATCAGTACCGTATGTACTTCCGTCCCCGCCTCTGC